GCAGGGCAGCCATGCTACCCACTGCGCCACTGTGCAGCTCTTTTGTAAATTCCAATCAATAAAATCAAAGTTTTAGTAACTAAGGCAAGTTGATTTAACATACGAAATCAATTAAATGTTACTACCAAATTTCTCTTGTCAACATAAGATATATTTCTGTTTTGCTAGTAAATTTTACAAAGAGGCACAGAGACGTACAGCCAAGAAAACACAAGAAGAATTTAGATCAGCCAGTTAACCTAACAGTCATGTTCTTGGACTGTGGGATGAAGCCGGAGTACCCGGAGAGAACCCACATATACACGGGGAGAACATACAAACTCCATGCCGAAAGACCCTGGACCGGGCATCAAACCAGGAACCTTCTTGCTGCAAGGCAGCAGTGCTACAAACTGCAGCCAACAATTAAATAAATAATTATTTTCTATTTCTGACCTAAACATGATCCGACAAGGAAAAAAGCACCAAGTTTACTTCTAATATCAAAATGTATCTTACCTGCATCTGTTAAGTTGGGAATTTATTTGGATTGTTTTGTTAATACCAACTGGATAAGATGAATTACATTTACTAGTCTTTTGATGGATATAGGTTTACAAATTAATTCAATAAAAGTTGTCATTTTGAAGTAAAGACACTTACATGGCAATTTTTAGTACTTTTACATAAAAACAGGTAATATTTTCCAAAAAGTCTTGTTTTTCAGTGTGTAGTTATTGTTTGTTAGTTGTGAAAACATCCCCCATTAAAGAGCTTTTCTATTATTCCTTTGTTTTTGTTTTTTTTGTTTTTTTACACAGACTAGATCATTGGACAGTCTTTATTTGACAAAGATTATCAGACTAAATAGAAAAAAAGTTCAGTGTATTAGAAATATATAAATAGCCAAACAAAGTCTGGGGCTACATTATGTGAAAAAAAAATTGTCCCCTAATCCTAATAAGGGGTTGAGCTGGAACAACTGCCATCATGTGTTTCTAGGATCTGGCAAATAATCTTTTACTTTAACTATGATGTGTTTTACTGATCAATCATTACAGGTTTTATTTATTTCAGACACATTTTAGGGTTTTCAGAATTAACAGCCTTGAAAATTTGTGCCTCTGCATCTCAATGGAATTTAATCAGTCTTTTTCCAGGCCATTCACAAGCTCTGTACAGTTTTTATGTTACCTTTTTAACAAATAAAGTGGTGGACTTGTTGGTAGGCTTAATAGGTATTTCATACAAATTGAAAAATAATAATAATTTAGCCTATTTCACTTTGAGTTGTTTAAAAATTAATTTTTGCAAGTTAAAAAGCTCCAATGTTGAGCAGTCATATTCATATGCAGTATGTTTAGCAAATTAGAATAAATCATTAACACACTTATAATGAAACAGTTTTTGTTTTTTCCTTTCTTGCTATACTTATAGCTGAAGAATATCATCATTTGAGACTTTTCTCCAAAAGAGAGTGAGGTTTACCATAAAAAGTTTCATGAAACTTGTTTTTCTCATTTTAAATTGGAAAAAGCTCCAAACAGTAGAACAGTAGTGTTACACGAGTCAATACATGAGTCAAGGACTGAAATGAATCTCACTTAATACAATTTTACAGACTGATTAGGATATTTATAGCATTATTCATCTATTTATTGAATTAAAGCATCATTCAGTTATTCCCAAACTAAAGTGTTTTGTTTCAAACTCTTCACCTCTGTGCAGCATTTAATTAGCTTTTAGCAGATTTTTAAATGTTAAGAATTCTGATTCTGTATCAGCTGAAATCCTACGATTAAATATATTTATTTGTATCTTTTTTGTCTCATATGTTTACTCATGCAGGCATAGAAAAAGATCAGACCCACCAACTCGCCGACCCCCAGCCCGCCCCAGCAACTGCATGCTTCATCCATCCCAGCAGGGCCACGGTGGGACACCCGAGATGGGCTCTCCAGTTCTGGGCCACTACAGCCAGCGGGACATGCTGAGAAGCCACAACCACATGCAAATGGACAGCCCCGAGCGGAGGAGGCGCACCGGTCACGGCAGCCTAACCAACATCAGCCGTCACGAATCCCTGAAGAAGATGGAGAGCCCGCCAATCCGCCGCTCCACCTCTTCAGGCCAGTACACGGGCTTCACTGACGGCTTACACCACCACGGCGGCAAGCCCTTGGACCCGGAGACCATCGCACAGGTCAGCGCGGGACGAGCGGCGACCACACCGCAGCTCCCTCCACCATCAAAGCCCTGCCCCGCCCTGTAAAAACATAGTCAGTCCATGTCTTCTGCTTCATCTGGCTGCTACTGTGTCGGTGTGCTCCGTACACGCAAAAAATTAGCTTCACAGGCAGACAGCAGGGAGCGCAGCTTGGCATTGGGAGTCTTCCACTTTCAACATAACTTCTATAATTAAACCCAAAATGGTCTAAAAACATCTAAAGCTCTTAAAATATCAACATCAGCATAGGTTTTCAGTTTCTGTTTTATGCGTACAGAACATAAAGAATAGTTGATAAACAAATGGAAGTTATATAGAAGCTCAGGAACCTTTCCCACGGTCACAAAGAGCGCTTCAGATTGTGTTAGGTTGTCTGCCTGCTTACTGTGAGAATGCTCAGATGAGCTTTTTTCTTTGCTCATCTCTGTATCTCCTCTGAGGTAGAAAGTCAGCATGCAAATAGTGATTTTTTCTCTTGCTTCATGCATGTAAAATAGAAAGCATGCAAAACGAAAGCATGTCTTCTCCTTTTTGTAATTTTTCTCAGTTTTGTTGAGGCTCGTTTCTCACACTAGTAGTATTCATTTCTGTTATAGATATGGAGAAATATTTGAAAAGGCGAAAAAGAATATGAAAGAGCAGAGAACATGGGTAGAACATGGCAGCAGGACCAGACTCTTGTTTTATTTCGTATTTTAAGATTTGTAAGTTTAGATAAGGCCTTTAAAACTTGTATTTTTCATATTTTGCATATAAATTAACTTATCTTTAAGTCTTTTTTTTTTTTTACAGCTCTTATAGGTGTTGGTCTATAGATTCTAATTCCCTTTTTAACTTCTAATTATCTGTTTCTCCTCCATAATCCTTATAATTCTTCCACCCTTTTTTGTTTTTGCAGGACATAGAGGAAACAATGAACACTGCTCTAAATGAGCTGCGTGAGCTGGAGCGACAGAGCTCAGCTAAGCACGCCCCTGACGTGGTGCTGGACACTCTGGAGCAGCGTCAGACTGCCGGCGGCGGCGGTGGAGGAGGCTCCACTATGGCGAGTTCCAACGAGTCCCTGAGCCCCATCCATGGCATCATGCTGCGGTCAACTGCCAACACTGAGCCACCCATCCGCCGCAGCACCAGCTCCTCCAGTGAGGCCATGAGCACCTTCAAACCCATGGTGGCCCCACGCATGGGGGTGCAGCTGAAACCCCCTGCTCTGAGGCCCAAACCGATGGTCATGCCTAAGTCCAATCAGGCCCCGCAGCCTCCTGCTGGACCTGCTCAGGACCCTCTAGATAAATCCTGCACCATGTAGGCTCTGAAAAAGAAAACAAAGATGGGAAGCAAAACCCTCTACCCATTTCTTTGGGTCTGTGAAATTCCTCCTGTGTTTTTAGTACACAGAGGACAAGATCCAAAAGATCTTTGTAACCTTTGTAATTATAGGTTGTAGTTACAATGTAGACTTGGTTGTAGCTGATAAAATGATCTGCCATATAGTATAGTTTTTAAAAATGAATTTGAACAACAAATCACAACATCTTCCTTCAGATTTTAGATTTGGTTGGTTTTCCAGATAATACTAAAAAAATCAAGCGAGTGCAGGAGAACTGGAGCAGCCACAGTGGTAAAAACAGGAGGAATAGTTCTCCATATCTGGGAGTGCCCATAACGATGTCATGCTTCTACACCTGAGATGTAATTGATCTTATCTTTTCAAACTGTGCTGGACATGAAACTTTATTAAAGGAGCCTAAAAGAACGTATCTATTAACGGTACTCTGTTAATAAACCCAAAGTACTGAAATATTTTCCTTTCCTTTCTGTTGCATGTAAACTGCAGCTTCATTCAGCTTTTTTTTTTCTTTCTTTTTGTTTTATTCTTTAAGGTGTATAATGTCCTAGAAAGCAGTAGAGAAACTGCCTCCTTTTTGGCCTCACTAAGATCATTTTAAACTTTATTCTATAATAACAAGAAGATAGCAGAACTGGATAAAACCACTAATTTGTCGTGAACCTGAATGCTTCACTTCTTGCATATACACCCAAGACTGTATGTATGCCTTAGTATATGTGTCAGCCATGAGTGTGAACATTTGATCACATAATGCGGGCCACATGTCATAGCCTCCTGTATGCCTTGGCTTTATCTACCCAAAGACATGAGTGTATAAGTTAAAGCATGGATGTTGAATCTCCATATTCACTGATGTGCATGGACTCTAAGAGTGCTGCCGGTAGCCATGGACCCTATGACTGTTAGCCTTAGCATATAGCCACTCCCCTCATTCTGCTTCTGTCTGAATATAGCAGTTTGCTTTGAGCCTTACAGTCTGTGTTCTGTTCAGGTGATTATGTCACTTATGGGTTTGTTTTTTTATTTTGTTTGTTTGTAGTTATTCCTCTTGAACTGGTTATTATTGCTCCTGTGTGGGTTTATGAAGCTGACAAACTAAATAACATGAAAAAAATAAGATAATAAAAGACTGTACATTGCTCTGCTCCTGAACTATAATTTCAAGATGCAATAGCTTCAGAAATGTGTTTGTGCCAGACTCCAGGAGCTCTGTACTTGTCTTTTTTTTTTTTTGCCTCTGCAATATAGAAACAACATCTGGGTGCACGTCCTTTTGTTACTAAACAAAGAACAAAATGGGTTTGCAATAATAGGCAACGGTCTCTAATAGCAGGTTTACACAATCGTTGAATTGATTAAAAATATGTGCATGAATCAAGTTATTTTCTGAATAATTATATTTTTTTATATTTTATTATTTTTTTCTTCAGGAGGGTTAAAATCACTTGTAGCCTATGTAATAGAAAACATAGGCAGCAGGGAGCGAAGGTGTGCTTTTTTCTGGTCACCAGTAACGGGGAGGACGGTAGGACTCCCTTAAGCTGTCTGTAGACTTTAAACTAGTCTGTTCTGTGCATCATTAGTATGTACTTGTAAAAGTGCCTTTGAAAATGTTTAAGTGGAATTTCATTCTTTCTTGTCGCGTTTTAAATGAGATGCTGCAGTTTTTCAATAACGTGTGTAGCAGGTAGGAATGTTTCAAGAGTAAGTCACATTTCCCAAACAGTTAAATGTTAGAAATAATATTAACCAGATTGTGACCTTGCACTTTTATGTATATACTGTAAATATGGCATGTAACATCACAACATCTAAAGTTCTTTCCATGGAGGATTTTTTTTTTCTTTTTTTTATTTTAATAAAGGAAATAGTTTGTGGAATCTGAGATGGATTTTTTTATTCGCTAATACTTTATTTTTAAATGTTTTTATTTAAAGGACATAGTTTGGGAGTTTTTGGACAGTTAAGAAACACAAACATAAAGCAACTTAAATTGCCAAATTCTCTGAGTTAAGTTAAAATATTTGCTAACATTTAACAAATAGATTGAACAGTATTATTTACCTTTTATTTCATACACACTGATCTATATGATAAACACAAATTAAATTGCCTTTAATGTTAAATTTCTATCAAAGAAAGAAAGAATAATTGCTTATTCTATTTCTAACTTACTTCACATTTTGTTACAACTAAAAGCTGAATGTATTTTATTGAAATCTTTAGTGATAGCTAGTTGTAAAGTGGGAGGATAAGGAATCTAAAGAAAAAAATTCTGAAAAGTGTGGCTTGTACCTGTGCTTAGCTCCCTTGAATCTACTCCTCATTGAAGCAGCAAAGCTTTTAGTGTTTGTCTACAAGCTTTGAGCAAAAAGAGACTGATTTCTCTTTTGTCATTCTTCATTGAAGAAGTAATTTTGATAATTTTAAGAGTGTCTTAAAAAAAGAATCCTGAGGATCAGTAACAGCTTTTTTAAATTAGATTTACCGTATTAGCCGGACTATAAGCCGATACTTTTTTCCCCCGCTTTGAACCATGCAGCTTATAAGAAGGGACAGGTTTTCTGTGGATTTTTCCTAACTAGTATAGGGGAAGTCAAAGTTGGAAATTAAAGAATAAGGGGCCATTTTTCATTTAGCACAAGAGCATGCTAGCAGCACAACGGAGAACAAATGTCCCAAATTCACATATTTTGACATTTATTTGCCGCATTAAAGTTGCCGAAACCAATGAAGAGACTGGGTTCAACTCCTGTAGAACTGAAATAAAGAGCAGAGGAAGCCCCATCTTTAATAGAAGCTCTTACTGCTGCGAGCAAACAAGATAGCTAGCATTCTCCTTTGTCCCTCCTCCAGGGGCTATATGTAGAGCTCCCCCTACAGGTTTGGTGGGAGATAGTTCAATGGATATCAACGGCTTATATATGTTTGTTTCCGAAAAGATCTGCACTTTAACTGCCCTAAGTTCATGGAAGAACCACTCAGTCTTACCATTTGTATAGCTTTTAAACTGAAATACCGGTAATAAAATATTTGAGCAACTGTTTTCTTCCTGCTACTTCTCCTTAATAGCCAGATGTGTGACAGATACTCCCAAATGAAATCATTATGGCATAAATAACATGGCGTTGAGGAGTTAGCATTTGTGTAGGCAAAACATTTAAGAAAAATGCATTTATTTCACCACCTTTCAGACACTTAGACCGGTGTTTCCAGAAGTTTAAAGGATCTCTTGTTTCACTTTATTAATGTAAAAGCATTTAGAGATAATATGTTCTGAATCAAATAAATGGCATACATGTTTATCTACTAGGTGAGATGATTACATGAGATGAATGTTTGGCTTTCAAATCTTAAAATAGTCTTAATTTTCCCAAGTAATAAGATGAAATTTTGCAAGAGAATTACAATTTTGTTATTCATAATGACAAGTCATTGTTATCTATAGTCTCCTTCACTTTAACTTCAACACTATTTTCCTATGTAAGGGAGCTTTACTGAGATCTGTTGCTGACTTCCAGCCTCGGTGCAGTTTGTAGGAGCGTCTCGCTGTTTTCTCCATTCTCTATTGTGAGTCCTCAAGGCCATCTAGTAAAAACAGAGACATTGTTGTTATGAATACAATCCCGCAGCAGTTTTTTTCCCAACAAGACAACTCAGAGTTTGGTTACTGAGAATAACCCCATCTTTATGTCATTACATATGGGACAGAATCCAGCAAGTCATTACAGAAGGCATAAAAAAGTCGGGTTGGGTAAAATTATTCATGTACCTCAGCAATTCCAACTTTTCTCTCCCAGAGGTGAACGCTCTGCTGCAGCTTCTTGTGTTTTTCCTTGGCATAAACATACTCGGTGATTTGAGGACACTGATAATCTCTGAGCTCTTTGCACAGGAGTTGGTTTAGGCCCTCTGCTTTTAAACACTCCTAAAAGAAAAAACAGGGTTAAAGTGACTTTTTCTAATTTTCCCAATTAACAAAAAAGGATTTTATTAATTCAGAAGTAAAAAGATGTATTTGTCTGGCTTGTACTTTAAAGAATTTAGATCTTTTTAAAACATACCACAAGAGAAATTCAATTAATTTTACACTTTGAAGTCATATTCACTAAATCAAAATATGTATTCATTTCTATAGCTTATTTCAAAAAGTGAAACACATCAAATAGATTAATCACACACAGTCTGGTGTTTTACACCATTTATTTCTGCTAATTAGGACTATTTCTTCTTACAGCTGACATTTAGAAATTTACATGAGACCAAAAAAACATTTTGAATATAGGAATTTTGATCAGATTGTTATCGAATCAGATAAAAAAGCCTTAACCTCAAGAAAAATGTATTCAAATTTATTGATTATTACAGTATATGGATTTACTATTTCTGTTATTAAAGTTTGTTTATTCTTAAAAAACCTTCTCGGCATGCTGTATCTCTTCCTCAAGCTTCGCGAGCCTTTCCTTTCCTTTAGTGATGTCATTGGTCAGTTTTGAGGATTCCAGTGTTAAACAGTGGAGCTTCTCCTGTTTCCAAATACAGAAAGAGATACAGATTAGACCCATTGGAGACAAACTTTTCTGTTAAAATGTTAAACTTCTTCATTTCTTTTTTTACCTTGTGTGAACTTAAAAGACGCTGAACCTTTGAACTGTTATCTTGAAGTTCATTAAGGTTTATGTCCATTTGGAGTTCACTGAATTCTTTAACAAATACCTTTTTAAAAAAAGACCGACATTTATTTTCCAAAAAGCAAAATTAGAATAGTTAAATCAACCAATCATTGAATTTATTAACTTTTGATATATGACATATGTATCAAAAGGTTATATGGTTTGCAACAGCGCTTTTCCAGACTCTGTTGTCCAGAGTTCTCAGTTTTCTCCACTGAGTTTGAAATATAAACATTTTTGTGTCGAAGGAAGGAAGGAAGGAAG